CTCCAGTTCTTTACCTTTGAGAGGTTAAATACATTTGCGGGGGGATTCTCTCCTTGACATGACTGTCATGTAATATGTGATCCTTTTAAAGTTTTGTTGTCTGGAGACTTTTGTAGCCCTAAATAAAGGCTATTAATTATAAATATAATTATTTCATCACGCATCTGTTAAAACACAGTATGCAACAGTGAACCAATTCACATTTTATATTTTCTAAGCCATTAGAAAAGATCAACATTGTTAAACCTGCTTTGTAATGGCATAAATTCACAGGAACATTTGTTTCACTTTTCAGGATGGATATTGCAATAACATTCAATACCCATACTATGAGTAGTATGGATAAACTAGCACATTTGCTTCATTATGTTGAACTGCCATATTCATTGGAATTCTATTTGGTTTTATTACTTATGTTCTCTGGTTATAGTTTGAGATCATGAAGCAAATCATGACCGAGTTTTCTATAATTTCCTTCTACAAAACAAGGATTTATCAGATTAAGTAGTATCTTAGGTGACAGTGAGAGGAATTGTTGCATAAATGTTTTCGTTGCGTTTTGAACTTTGAAAAATTAAGGCATGAGAAATAAGTATCTGTACAGACTTTACTCATCCTAGACTTTGAGGCAGGGGATCTTTCTCTGAGTGGTGATATGCAAATGAGACCTAACCCATGCACTTGATGATTAGGGCTCCTTCTCCAGCCTGTGCTAATGTGAGGTTTATCTCTTACCGTTGCACTTGCTCTAAGTAGGTCAGTGCTTCCTGCACCAGCCTCAGAAGGAATGTTCCATGTTGGTAGATCAAGGAGGCAATGTCTCTGTGTTCAGTCAATGGTTATCCACAATGAAATAGATTTCCTTTGAAACCAGGGACTTTCCAAGCAACAGGTGTGCTACTGTTCATTGTTAGCATCTACCATCCACAAGTGTGAGCCAATACTTGCCACTACCATCCTGCCTATGACCTGGGTCCTAAGCATAAGTGGCTACTGTCCCAGATGGAAGAGGGACAAGAAGCGGCTCTTGTTAGAAGTGCTCAGTAATTTTGGAGAGTCAAAAGAAAAAAGCTGCAATTTTTTGCTGAGACCCTGCCTCACTTCAGAAGGATTTGACAAGTTTGCAAGAATATTTTGAGGCTAAAAAACAAGAAAAAAGTGCATAAAATAAGGAAAAATATCAAAGTAAAAGAAATCGAGGAAAATGATATGAAAGCAAGGATAATATTAGCAAACCTAGTATTTATTGAAAATTATGTATAGTTTCCAGAGCTGGGCCACAGATTTGACTCTAAAGTTTTCCTAGTTGTCTAAAAATGAAAGAAACCAGATTCCTAGTATCCGTGGAGTATCCTACAGAAACAGATTAACAGATAAACGTAACCTCCAAGATGGGTCCTCAGCCAAGGACTGAACTGTAACGTGGGAGACTGCATTCTAGCCACACTTGTCCCTGAATTCCTCATGTTAAGTTGGAAAACAAGGCTGAGGGAATGTGATCAAATGCTCAATATCAGTTCTTTACCTCTGCTTTACGTCAGTATATATGTCACTTTGATCAAAAGGATATGTGCCTATGCTTAAAAATCAAACATACAGATGACTTTTTAATTAAAAAGCAACATCTCTCAGCTCCACCCTTGCTATCCAATTCTTAACATCCATGCCTTTGGGCAGCCCCTGTGGCCCAGCGGTTTGGTGCCGCCTTCAGCCCAGGGTGTGAACCTGGAGACCTGGATCGGATCGAGGTGCCTCACATCAGGCTCCCTGCATGGAGCCTGCCTCTCCCTCTGCCTGTGTCTCTGCCCCCACCCCCTCTCTTTCTCTCTCTCTCTCTCTCTCTCTCTCTCTCTGTCGTGAATAAATAAATAAAATCTTTTTTAAAAAATCCATGCCTTTACTTTTACATTGTCCAAGTGGCATGACATGTACATTTGGTTACACAATCCTTGGTCCATTTTCTTATCTTTTTTTTTAAAGATTTTATTTATTTATTCATGAGAGACACACAGAGAGAGAGGGAGAGACACAGGCAGAGGGAGAACCAGGCTCCCTTGGGGGAGCCTGATGTGGGACTTGATCCTAGGACCCCAGGATCATGACCTGAGCCAAAGGCAGACACTCAACCACTAAGCCACCCAGGTGCCCATCTTGGTCCATTTTCAATAGTATATAGATTGTAAGGTTGAAAATCAAGTGGATATTTACATTACTATAACTACAGTGGACTGTGTATGCCTGCACTAAACTTAGAGGTGCAAAGGAAATGAAATCTCTTATTCTCCGTAAATGATGGGACCTTAATCATGAACCTTGATCCTTCTGTGGAATGTGAGAACGTCCACTTGATGATGAATCAATATCATCGTGTCGTGGGTCCCCAAGAATGCCTCACACTTCCAGGTTCAGCGATTCACTGGAAAGGTTTGTAGGACTCAGTGGACAGTCTGACACATAGTAACAGGATCCAGAGTAGCAGAGAGAAAAGGCATATGAAGTCTGGAGGAGATCACAGGCAAGTTTCCAAGAGTCCTCTGCCAGCAGAGCCGCACAGGATACACTTGTTCACTCGGCACCCAGGCTTTCCTGGGGAGGCTGGTCATTGTGCACCCCTTCCTAGCATGGACCACAGTGCCAGACTCCAGACATTTATGGTGCCACTAACCCTCTGTGTCAATAAGTGGATGCAGACACTCCCCAAATCCAGCTTCCCAGAAGCAGACGCCAGCCTGAGGCCTCCCTAAGGACAGTAGGCTCAGGCTTCTAACACTTTCCTGCTGCTTACGTTCTTCTGTTTGGTGATCTGTGAATTCAGCATGTGGCTCCTTACGAGGTCTGGTTTAAATAGCCTCTATAGAAGTTTGGCTTAGTATGTTTAAGGTAGATGCTGAATCTCCTATATTCCTTCTGCTTTCTCTTGCTTGTCTCTAAATTGTGTGTGTGCGTGCGTGTGTGTGTCTGTACGTGTGGTGCATCTCCATGTGGTAAGTGTGTGATACGATGTGTGTATGTGGTGTGATTGTGTCTGTGTGCACAGGAAAGTCTGTGGGGTGAGATGTGTGTCAATGTGTGGTATGCATGTGTGTTTGAGTGTGGGTAGTGTGATTGTGTGTGTGTGTGTGTGTGTGTGTCTGATGCACCTGTGTGGGTACGTGTGCTGGTGCAGGGAGAGGGAAGGTGTGCACTCACAGAGACACAGGAATGGCTGGGATCCTTGCGTGCCTTCTGAGTTTTCATTGATTTGTGCGGCAGTGTGGCCAGGAGACTGTTCCATCTGGCTCATGGAGCAGGGTGGTCCTGGTGCTGACTGGTGGTGACCACTTCCACTGCTCACAAAACCTCTGGCATGGTCCCAATGTCTATGGTAATAAAAATCACCACAGCCACCAGCTCTTGGCTCTCACCTCCTCTGTGGGCTGGGCACAGATCCCAGAACATTCTGGCTGGAAGCTCTGTCATCACCGCAGCTGGCGACACCTTCCTTCTGTCCTCCTTCTCTGCTGCAGCTACGGAGACGCCACCGTCTGTCCCACAGCTCCTTCTCAGAGCCACACATTGGATGAGGCCAAAGCTAGGCCACTTCCCACCTTCCCTCAAGCCCTCTGACATTCTCCTGAACTCTGAGAACTTCTAGGCACACAAGTACACTCTGTAAGTCTGCACATCCCAAAATCACTTGTTAATCATTCTCCTAAATTGACAAAGAATTTGAGGTTGAAAAATCCTTTCCACTGGTCTTTAAAAGTATTTCTACTACTTTAAAATTCTATTTTGATTTTTGTTTCTAATTGGGAGATCCAGCCTTTCTCTATAGAAGTTTCTAGAATCGCCAATATATAAAAACCTCATTATTTCCCTGTTTGCTGCTCCAGGTCTCACTCTCTTCTTGATCATGCCTTCCTCCTGAGCCTTCAGAATTTTCTGGTCCTGCAGGGCACAAAAGCCCCTCTTCTGCTGCAGCCTGTTGCAGATTTCCAAAAGTGCCTGCAAAGTTCTCCTCAACCACCCCTGTCTTCCGCTCTCCTTGCTCTTACGGGTTTACACGGTGCTACTTTTTAAAAGTCATTTTTTGGGGATCCCTGGGTAGCGCAGTGGTTTGGCGCCTGCCTTTGGCCCAGGGCGCGATCCTGGAGACCCGGGATCGAATCCCACGTCGGGCTCCCGGTGCATGGAGCCTGCTTATCCCTCTGCCTCTCTCTCTCTCTTTCTCTGTGTGTGTGACTATCATAAATAAAAAAAAAAAAAAAGGAGTGGGGATGAGATATTAAAAAAAAAAAAGTAAAAGTCATTTTTTGGTGCCTCAGGAAAGGGAGGAGGTACACGTGGCTGCTCAGCCTCCCAGCTCTGATAGGTGGCCCTTCCATATGTGCCTCCTCATGGTTCCCGGCTGCCTTCCAAAAATCCTTTTGACCGTGATTGCATGGGTGTTTTCATTCAAAAATCATTAATTGAGGGGCACCTGGGTGGCTCGCTGGGTTAAGTGCCTTCCTTTAGCTCAGATAATGATCCTGGAGTCCCAGGGTTGAGCCCTGTGTTGGGCTCCATGCTCAGCGAGGAGCCTGCTTCTCCCTCTGTCTCTCACTCTGCTTGTACTCTCTCTTAAATAAATAAATTTCTAAAAATCTTTAAAATAAATAAATAAGTAAATATCATCAATTGAAATTGCAGTGAACTTAAGAAAGCTATTTCAGTTTTTAAACAATTGAATGAACCACAGTTGGGAGATTACTACATGTGAATGTACTACATGTTTGAATCAATAAGCTAAAGGTCATCTTAGCGTACTTACGAAAATAGTTTTGATCCACCAGACCCCCCAAGGTCACCAGGTCACCAGACCTGGGTGAGAACCCCAGGTTCTGCAGGTTATATTTTGAAAATTGTTGGACTACACATTACTTTCATTATAATTTTATATCAGTAGATTTTCGAAAGTGTACTAGGGGGTACATTTGTGTTACATTTTGTGCACCAAATACATGTTGTTGTTTTTCTCAAAGGGTCCATCTTGCTGGGACGATGTCCTAATCCCAAACCGGATGACTGGTGAATGCCATTCGGCAAACTGCCCTGGGACTACAGCCGTGAGTACCTGGTCAAATCCATTTTTTTCATTGTGTCATCTTCAGTATTTTGTAGGAAATTAGAAGAGAGATAAGAATGCCAACTGACTTTTCTTCCATCTGATAGTGTTCAGCAAAAGTGTCACCAGATTCAAAGTATTTATTGAGTTGCCCCAAATTCTACATTATTTGTTGCCATCCTGTCATTTTCCTAGAGGCTTTACTACTTTGGTTGACTGTGTTGAAACATGTCAATTAAAAAAAAAAAAAAAGAAAAGAAAAGAAGCATGTCAATTTAAATTCCTTCCAAAGCGATATTCATGGAATATAAAGAAGAGCCACTTCAGAGCCTAGCAAAGTAAAAAAAAAGTAGCAAAGATATAAGGTTAGTCTTTGTGCCAATGCTGTGATATTTTGTCTTTATAATAATTCAAAATTGCTTTCTTTCTTTATCTCTTTCTACCTTTCTTTTTCTGACATACATAGTGGACTTTAGGAAATCCCATATGGATGAGCAGCTCTACAATTGAATGACCATCTTCTGTTCTCTGCAATCCCCATCCCCTTTGCAAACATGTGTCATAAGTTTGATGTTTCTTAAAGAGCAGATATTTCTTAAAAGAGATACTAAGTGCTGAACTCATTTTTTAAACCATTTTCTATTGAGATCATGTTTGTAATTTGTATATTGTTTTACTTTTTTACCTCAAAAATTCCTGGATCTATCGTCGTCTGATTGTGTATATATCTCTTGAGCTGTAAATACTCTTACGGTGCCAACCCAAATGTCAATGTTAGTTCACAAACTGTCACAGCCAGCTGGCAGTTAATATCTTCTCTAAGGAACAAAGTCTGTCAGTAGCAACAGGTACAGCATTTGAGCTAGAATCATTAGGCGTGCCTCCTCTCTCCAATCTGCAGGGCGATTGCAAGGAATTGAGTGAGCAGTAGGCAGCACTAACAATCATTTTCCATCAAACAGGGGTGAGGACCGCAAACAGATTTTGATTCATGCAAATCCTGAAGAAAAATAATGACTTGTATGTCAGTCACATATATCGAGGCATTATAGTCTTATAAGTTAGCTACCAGGATGAAATGAAAGTGTATATATTTATGGAACAGAGTTCTTAGGTAGAATTACATATACCTGTATGCATACAGGTGTAATATATACACATTATACTATACAATATCTCTTAATTACAATTACATGCAATAATAACTGTATCGCCATCCCTCCATCCATTCACCCATCTACAACATAAACACGTTATCTGTTCTGTATAACACTGTGGCCTCTGTATCATCTTTACCGTAATTTGAGATCCTTTGAAAATCGACTGTAATTCCTGACAGTCTGACTACCTCGCCTGGACCTTGATATTAATTGGCAGGATTCAGTCACAGCAGGCTAGACACTTTTGCAAGGACTGAGCTTCACATCGGTCAAAGGGAGAAACTCTGTTAAGTGGGACCTAGAAGCGTTTCCTTTGCTCGTTGCGCATTCTACTTACCTTATATATCAGTACATGGAATTCAGTGTAAATTAAGTTATATCGTAGCTCTATCTGACAGCATGGTGAGCTGATACCCTTCAAAATCTTTTCAGTGCACACCATATAAAAATACTGGACTAAATTACAAACATGCATTTTTAAAGGAATGGCTGTGCTGAGAGCTTAATAAGAAAAAGTATATATATATCAAAACTAGGAGAAATTTTTTCCAGGGGGAAAATTGTGTTGGCTGAAGCCAGCCACCCCCTTGGTAGTAACTACTGATCCCTGGGGGCTAGAGTCTAGGTGGGCAGGCATCCATGGAAGGCTATAGCTGAGTTTATGGCTTCATCAAGGTGGCAAATGAAACCACAGAATCCTACATAGAGCTAGTACCCATAAAACACGATACCCTTGTGAGGTCTACCAGAGGAGAGGAAGTGCTAGCTTCCTGGAGAGGCAGTGTGTGCTGTCCTTACCACCCCTACCACCTACACCCCTGCTCACTGTAATCTCCTGTTCGCTGTTCCTCACCCATGTGCACCTGCTCTATTGACTGCCCAAGGTCTCACAATGAACCAGATCCCAGGCAAATTCAGACTCCTCGAGAAGGAGGACAGCCCCTGCCCACCTTCCCAGACCACTCTAGGATTATACACATCGTCCCCAGCCCAGGTTGAAGTCTGAACTCATAATTGAGTCTGCATTCCAGACAAGAAGGTCTGTCCACAAAACCCTTCAGAAATGAGCCTGCTCCATGGTGCCCTGAGGCATGTGCTGCTGGTCCTGAGGCTGACCCCCTGCAGCTGGAAGCCACCCATTTCTATTTGCAGCCCACCCCAATAGGATGCCCCTGGTGAAATGTGGTGAAGCCTTTATTATCACATGGTGCAGGGCATACTGAGGAAGTGTGTCCAGGATAAGGGGATTGAAACCATCAGAGCCGTCAGCTAAAGACTTAAAAGAATAAGAAGAAGAAAAAAGAAAGCCATGAAGCAAGAGAACCTTGTCCAGAAGCCACCAGTAGATGCCCCTCAGGGTCCCTTTGCCACCTGGCTGAGATCTATGCCTACGCAGTGACAGGGGAGATACAGGGGCCACCTTCTTTGATGTCATGGGTGGTGCTATGCCTCTCAGCACAGCCAGGGTGGAAAGGAGGGATGGGTTCTGCTATAGCTGTGGGGGTCAGACAGCTTTCCCCAGGGAGGGGGGGACAGGGAATGCAGCACAACCCCTGCCAGCTTGCACACAAGCTCTCACAGTGTCTCCCCACCACCTCTTTGGACCGGAGGCTTTCTCACAGTCCCCTCTCAGGTATGAATACATCTCTTTAGAGCAAGGATGAATGCTGAGTGAGTTCCCACCCTCCCGTGGCCAAAGCCCCTCTCTGGTGTGAACTACCAAGTGTGTATCTTATGCTGGAGACATGCCACATTGGCTGCACTCATAAACCCCTACCAGCATGTTACCTTTCTGGTGACAGGTGACACAGGAGCTCCTGAAGGAGTTCCCACTCCAGGCCTTTCTGCTGTCTGGACTTCCAGAAGGAGGTGGGGGCTTTGGCTGTCTCATACTTACTGCACTCAAACAGCTTTCCATGCTTGAAACTTTCTGGTGCCAAACAAGAAGAGTGTTTCTAATGAAGGCTTCCTTGCTGGCGTTATTCATGGAAGGCTCTTCTCTGCTGTGCACTTTCTGAGGACACCTCGCACTCCTGATCATGTGGAATTGTGCTCTCCGTCAGTTGTCAGGTGGTAAATAAAGGCTGCTTTTCTTGGAAAGCCTCCCTACACACCTTGAATTTGTAGGTTCAAGTCTGAGTCTTGGGTGCCTGGGGCAGGTCATGTTCTTGCTGTCCAGTGCCCAGGCCGACTCACCACACACACCCCTTTTGGGGTTGGAGGCCTCAAGTCCCAGCAGGAGCAGAAGTACAATGTTTTCCAGTGTATACACCATAGATGTGCCCTGGGCTTTGTCCAGAAGCCCCTCTTCTCCCAGGAGAGGCACACAACCACACCCTCCAAGGTCATCAGTCCCAGCCAATTTCAGCATCTCCATGACTGTCATTGGAGCCTCGGGCTAGGAGCTTCTCAGAAGCTGTCATGTTTACCCTCCTGGGAAACAGCATCTGGCCCCGTGATCTACTCCATCTAGTGGTTTTCAACATCTAACCCTTGAAGCTAAAGATCATTTGAATTGCCTAAGATAACCATTCCAGGGATTGAAATAAAATACAGATGTCAAATTAGTTTTAAAAAAGAAAGAGAGGATAGTGAAGTAGAGGAAAGTGGGACAGATAAGTAGCACGCTCACACATGCGCACGTGAGTACACACATGCATGCACAAACACACACACACACACAAAACGATAGGATAAAACCAAATACAATGGTGATAAAATAACATTTAAATGTACTGAACTTTAAAAGATTAAGATTTTGGGGATCCCTGGGTGGCTCAGCAGTTTGGCGCCTGCCTTTGGCCCAGGGCGCGATCCTGGAGTCCCTGGATCAAGTCCCGCGTCGGGCTCCCGGCGTGGAGCCTGCTTCTCCCTCTGCCTGTGTCTCTGCCTCTCTCTCTCTCTATGTCTATCATGAATAAATAAATAAATAAATAATTTTTTAAGAAATAAATAAATAAAAGATTAAGATTCTAAGACTAGGTTTAAAGTAGAAAATCCAGCTCTACATGAGTTACAAAAGATATACCTAAAATATGAAAACAAAAGCATTGGGAGTAAAAGAGTAGAAAATGACATACCAGGCAAATGTTTTTTTTAATTATCCAGATTTTTTTTAATTTTTATTCATTTATTTATGATAGTCACAGAGAGAGAGAGAGAGAGAGAGAGAGAGAGGCAGAGACACAGGCAGGGGGAGAAGCAGGCTCCATGCACCGGGAGCCCGACGTGGGACTCGATCCCGGGTCTCCAGGATCGCGCCCTGGGCCAAAGGCAGGCGCCAAACAGCTGCACCACCCAGGGATCCCCATACCAGGCAAATATTAAAGGAAGCATAGCTTAAAAAAATCTATTTATTTTTAGAGAGAAAGATTGAGAGTGAGAGCATGCAAGGAAGGGGAGAGGCAGAGGGAGAAAAAGAATCCTGAAGCAGACTCTGTGCTGAACCCAGAGCCACATATGAGGCTCAGTCCCAGGACCCTGAGATCATGACTTGAGGTGAAATCAAGCGTCAGCCACCTAACCACTGGAGCCACTCAGATGCCCCTCAAAGGACAGCTTTTGAAACCATTTTAATTGCATATAAAATCAGTTTTTAGGAGAAAAGGCATTATTAAAATTTGTATTTATATATATTAGTTTTTTAAGTTTTTAATTTTAATTCCAGTTAGTTGATCTAACAGTGTAATATCAGTGTCAAGTGTACAATATTCAACATTCCCATACGTCACTTGGTGCTCATCACAACCAGTGCCCTCGTTTGTCCCCATCACCTATTTTCACCCACCCACCTTTCCTCTGATGACCACCAGTGTATTCTCTAGAATTAAGAGTCTTTATC